TGTCTGCCCCCCCAGGGAAGGGCTCACCAAAGGAACAAAGGCCTCTTACAGCACGTTTGTCCTGGAGAAAGCCCCCTCTCCAGCCCTCGCTCCAGTGCCAAACAGCTCAGTTCCTTTCTGTATGTCTCTGGCGCCCCTCGAGCTGCCTCCCCTCCAAGCTTAGAGGGAGAGAGTCCGATAAGTCCGTGCGCGGCCCTTTAAGGAGCTGCCTGGGGCTCCAGCCGCATCAGCCTCCCTGAGCCTCAGTTCCCGCTGGTTTTTCCAGCCAGAAGTGATGGAGGCTTCTCTTCCTGGCACTGGAACCCTGAGCAGGGTGCCTGGTGTGGGACAGGGACCCCTCAGTCCTCAGGGAGGACCTTCCCAGCCGAGGTGTCCTCCTGGTTTTTATTCGCCACCCGTGGGTGTGGGACCAGCCGGTCCGCCTCCGCCCCTCCTACCAGTCTGGATGTGGCTGCTGCTGTAATTCCGTAGTTGTAGGACTTCCATTCAGCTTGATTTCAGGTGGTTTTGAATATGGTTGTTCTGTAGTTTAGTTGTAACTTTGATGTGATTGTGGGAGGACGCGATACCACGTTTACCTATGCCGCCATCTTGACCGGAAGTCCCCCCCTTTGTATAGTTTTTAATTTCAACAAAATAAATGTTTTACTAGTCCAAAAGAGCTAAATATAATTAAATCAAAAGAAACCTAAAAAGTAGTCCATATGTTTTGAAACTTTGAAATGCATTCTTTGTAAATATGGCAGAGGGAAAATCACAATAAAAACGACAAAATATTTAGAACACAAAGAAAATAAAAATGCATATCAGAACTTATGGATCTACAGTAACTTTTTTCCTCCATAATTCAGGTTTGGTTTGCTGTTCTTTTCTTGCATTCTGAGTTGGAAAAGGCTTAACTCATTTAAAAATATTTCCCTTTTACATATTTTTGTTTAAGACTAGAGAGTTTCAACATTAGAAAATCTGTTATTTTAATATACCTGATATTTTTAGCAATTTGGGAGTAGAAGGTAATTCTCCTAATCTAATGTGTTTCCACTGAAAGTGGAAAGATCATACTTAATGGTGTAACATTAGAAGCATTCCCATTAAATGTGGAAGCAAAATAAGAATGATTCTTTGAAGAAAATCTTAATCACATTAGCAACAAAACTATCAAGTACTTAAATGCTATAGATAAAACAAGATGTATACATTCTCTATGAAAAAAAGTCATTATTGAAGGACATAAAAGAAGACTCATAAATATAATGTATACATGGATAGGAAAAGTCATACTGGTTTAAAAAAATTATTTTTAAATCCTCACCTGAGGATATTTTTTCATTTATCTTCAGATAGCTGGGGAGAGAGAGAAGAGAGAGAGGAGAGAGAGAGAGAGAGAAAACCATCAATATGAGAGACACACTGATTGGTTGCCACCCCGACCAAGGCCAGGGACCAAACTGCAACCAAGGTACATGCCCTTGACTGGAATCGAACCCGAGATTCTTCGGTCCACAGGCCAATGCTGGAAGAGTCATATTGTAATGATAACAGTTCTCTTCATATTAATCTATAAAATCATTGTGATTCCCATCAAAATCTCAGTATGTTTTATAGAACATATTAAGCTGATACTAGCATTCATCTGGAATAGCTATAGTGGTTTAAAAATATGGTCTTCTGGCCTTGGCCAGTTTGGCTCAGTGGTTAGAGCGTCGGCCTGAGGTCCAGAGAGACCCGGGTTCGGTTCCCGCTAAGGGTTTGTACCTCGGTTGCAGTTTGTCCCCGGCCCTGGTTGGTCGTGCGGGTGGCAGCCACTCGATTCGTCCCTTTCACATCGATGTTTCTCTCTCTCTCTCTCTCTCCTCTCTCTCTCTCTCTCCCTCTCTCTTCCTCTCTCTCCCTCCCACTCTGTCTGTACAAAAAATGGAAAAATGTCCTCAGATGAGGATGAAAAAAAAAAAAAAAAGGTCTTCTGGAACAGAAAGGTTATTTAAGAATTCTCATAATTAAGACGGTGTGGTCTTGGTTTAGGTGTAGGCATATAGATAAGGTGACCATACATCTCCGTTTGCATAAGACAATTTCAGTGTCGCATGAGGCAACATTGAAATTACCTATTGTCCTGGTAATTATTAATAGGCTCTCTTTTACTATTAAGAACTGTTCAGTGAAATTGCATAGGAAGTCCTGAAACAAATCCACTTTATGATGTAGGTGGTAGTATAAGTCAATGATAAAAGGATGTCATTCATTAAATGGTATTGGAACAGAAAGAAATATAATCAGCCTTTATTTGACACTACACACAAGAGATTAATTCCAGGTAAATTAAAGATTTGAAGTGAAAAGTAAAACTTTAAAACTTACAAAGTATAGGACACTATCCTTATGGCTTTTGGAAGGAGAGCATAAGGGAGATTTCATAAGACAAAAAGCACAAATTATGAGAGTAGAATGGTGGTTGCTAGTGCATGAGAGTGGGGGGAATAGTGTTTGGTAAAAGGGTCCAAATTTTCAGTTATAAGATGAATAAGTTCTGAGGAGCTAATGTACAACATGACTGTAGTTGATAATACTGTATTGTATAATTGAAATTTGTTAAGAGTGTAGAACTTGTGTTCTCACCAAAAAAATAAATAAATATGAGAGGTGATGGATGTGTTAATTAATTTGATGATGGGAATCCTTTCACTGTGTATATATAAAATCATATACTTTGTTATAATTTTATTAGTCATTTATACCACAGTAAAGCTGAAAAAAGTGAGAAAAAGATAAATGATAAAACTACGTTAGGATTAAGAATTTTTTTTTTTCTTATTTGTTTGTTTTTTAAATAAGAAAGTATAAACAATGTGGAAAAACAAGCCCACATGCTGGGAGAAGACATTTGTAACACATGTAACTAAGTTTGAATAAACAGAATTTTAGAAGATTAACCCAAACCCCCAAAACATACAATACAGAGTATTTAAAAAAATGGGAAGAATAGTAACTATTAACTATCATTTTACAGAACAGGGATCTAAGATGACCACTGATAACATAAAAATGATTGTCTGCCTTACTAGTCATCCTGCTAGTATAGTTGAAAATGCACATGTCTTCATCTCAGCAATTCCACTTCTACATGTATAACCTGGAGAAATGTTCACATATGAATGAGCACCAGCAGATGTTTATAAAAAGATTCATCTAAGCATTTTGTGTAATAGCAAAATAAAATTTAAAGCAAGCTAAAATTGTTGGAAACAGTCTAAGTTCCATCAGCAGGGGAATTGAGAAATACATTTGGTGTCTGAAAGTATTCCAGTCCTGTCTGGCTGGTGTGGCTTAGTGGTTGAGCATCGACCCATGCACCAAGAGGTTGCTGGTTCGTTTCCTGGTCAGGGCACATGCCCCAGTTGTGGGCCTGATCCCCAGTGGGGGGCATGCAGGAGGCGGCCAGTTGATGTTCTGTCTCATCGATGTTTCTCTCTCTCCCTCTCAGTTCTTCTCTCTGTAAAATCAATAAAGGGGGCAAAAATTTTTTAAAAAGAAAGAAAATATTCCAGTCTGGCCAATGTGGCTCAGTGGTTGAGCGTCGACCCATACAGCAAGAGGTTGCCAGTTCGATTCCTGGTCAGGACACATGCCCAGGTTGTGGGCCTAGACCCCGGCGGGGGGGGGGGGGGGGGAGGGGGGAGGCGGGAGCATGTAGGAGGCGGCCAATCGATGTTCTCATCGATGTTTCTATCTCTCCTGCTCACTTCCTCTCTCTATAAAATCAGTAAAGGAAAAAAAAATTAAAGTATTCCAAATAGAAATTAAAATGAACTAGAGCAAAATGTATTAATATGGCTATATTTTAAACGTAATATTAGAGTAAAACTAGGTTGCAAAACACTATGTACAGTTTTGTATCAGTTATAAAGCTTAAAGACATTTAGGAAAATATTTTACATAGCCTTATGGTTCTATCTGTATATATTACTAATGTATGCACGGACAGTGGTCTGAATTTGGCCCATTGGTCATAATTTGCCAACTTGTGATGTATGACACATTCACAGAAGTTACTTCAGTAATTGAGGCAGTACTGACATTATCCCCTTATTACAGGTGGGAAAATTGAGATTTAGAAACCATAAATGGCATCATTCAGGTTAGATGAAATACTGTGTTCCCGTTAACCATATGGCAATAGAAATTTTTTTATCTATGTAATGCTTATAGAAGATTCTTTGTCTTCCTCTAAAAGTAGAGTGAATTGTGAAGGTCTCATCTCCTGGTTTTACACAATTATAATCTTTAGAGTATGTTTAGAAACTCAGCATTGCTGGGTCTTTACAAAATCATTTTATGTATGATTTTCCCAAGGCTTGCAACATGTTTTATTATTCAGATGGAGAAACAAATACAAAAGTTGGTATGGCTTAATTTATTATTAGTTAGATTTGGATATCTTACAAGCCATTGACTTAACATCAGTAGATAGCTTTATATAAAATAGAGCACTAATAAACAGTTGTTTCTGTTGTTTTCCAAAATCAGATTTATGAAGCAGTTGCTTTGTTTTGTCATGACCTGCAGTAATTGAGAATTTATTTATCTACATTTATATCCAGGGTCTAGGAAGTATATTTTTCCTTGTTTAATTTCATGGGCTAGAAGTTAGTATGGTTGGTAGGTATTAAGTAATTATGGCTCTTCTCTGTGTGCAGAAAGTAGGACTACCACAGTCACATTGGAATATGTGCAAATTTGAAGGTAGGATGGTAAGATTATTTAACCTGAATAAAAATTACCACAGTATGTTTTTCTTTTATCTCCAGCAGAAGGCTGAAATGACTTACGTTTAAGAAAGTGTTAATATATACCAGAGCCAGGATTTGAACCTATAAAATAGTCAAATAGATGTTAGTAGAGTATTAATTTTAAAAGAAGTTAAGATTTTTAAACAAAATTGTTAACCGATTATCTGATTATGTTTATTATTCCAAACTAAAAATGGAATGTATTTTTTTCAGAGACATCAAACCTGACAATATATTGATGGATATGAATGGACATATTCGGTTAGCAGATTTTGGTTCTTGTCTGAAACTGATGGAAGATGGAACGGTAAGTAAAGATAAATTTTAAATTCTTTCACCCACAGACTTTTTTTTGGCTACTTGTCATCTTTATCTGTTTAGAAACCATTTATTTATATTATCCTTCCATTTATCCATCCATTTATCCATCCATCCATCCATCCATCCATCCATCCATCCATCTCTCTTTCTATGCATCATCTTCTTCCACAAAGGCATTTAGGCATATTTATTCATAATAGGGCTTGTCTATAAAATCATATGCCATTTTAACTGTTCATACTAATGATCTGAAAATGGTTACATTATGCTGTTTGTGAGACCCATGTTTTTTCTTTTTGTAGCTGTACTGTTTATTGTTGTACTTGAGATCTTTTTACATTTCCAGATGGGTAAAGAAAATAAATCCTACATGGAAAAAGAAAATGTGATTTCTTTGCTTTTGTTTTATTTTTTTGTCTTTCTTTTCTAGTTGATTTTCCTATGGAACTGTGTTAAAAAAATGAATGCTTTTATCAGAAAATCCTCTAGGTTGATTTAGTTTCATATTACCATTTGCTTTAGTTCTACTAACTCTGGGCCCCTCTGTTGAGTTTTCTTTCACTTACGTAAAAGTTTATATGCCCCAATTTTATTCTCTGGTTTGTTTTGGTTTTTGTTTGTACTTCAGTTTCCTGGCTATATATCTCAGGTCCAAATATATATAATTTTAATTGGCAGAAACATTTTTAGAGAGCAGTTTAGTAAAATACATTCTAAAGACCATGAAAATGTCATATTATTCTGGACTAATAATTTGACTTCTGAAAATTTATCCTAAGGGTGTAACTTAAAAATAAAAAAGCCCTTACCTGAGGATCTGTTTCTTGATTTTAGAGAGGAAGGAAAAGGAGGGAGGGAGGGAGGGAAGGAAAGAAGGAGGGAAGGAGGCAGGCAGAGAGAAAGAGAAAGAGAGATTGCGATATTGAGAAACATTGATTGGTTGCCTCCTGTATGCACCCTGACTGGAGATTGAACTCTGCAACCTAGGTATGTGCCCTGACCGAGAATCAAACCCGCAGCCTTTTGGTGCATGGAACGACACTCCAACCAACTGAGCCACCTGGCCAGGGAAGGAGGTAACTTTTTTTAAAAAAGATTATATTCTGCCTCTGGCCATGATGGAGGGAGTAATTGGTACCAAATTGTCTTTTCACTATAAACAACAGTAAAACTAGACACAATATTTGAGACAACTGTTTCAGGCAATGGACAGCAGATAGCACTAGACTGTTAGTTCTGGAGGAAATTAGTTTGTGATGTGTGCCGCACAATTTTCCAAGATTGGGACACTTTGCTGTTTCTGATGCAGAAAGCAGAGTTACAGCAGAGTTTGGTAGTCCTGCTGAGCTAAGGAGAAAGAAGTCAGAGTTGAGTTAGCTAGGGCATCTGGATTCTGCAGAGCTTGACAATGGAGAGAAAGGAGTTGTGTAGAGAGAGGGCCTAAAGTAGCGGTTCTCAACCTGTGGGTTGCTACCCCTTTGGAGGTCGAACAACCCTTTCACAGGGGTCACCTAAGATAATCGGAAAACACATATTTTCAATGGTGATTCATAACAGTAGCAAAATTATAGTTATGAAGTAGCAACACAAATAATTTTATGGTTGGGGGTCACCACAACATGAGGAACTGTATTAAAGGGTTGTGGCATTGGGAAGGTTGAGAACCACTGACATAAAGTATTCATGGGTGGGGGATACCTCGTGATGTTTGGGCTATGCATATGCAGTATAAGACTATATAAGACTTACCAAATAGTTGATGCTCTTCATTTGAAAATGGAACAGATTACTGGAAATCAGGGAATCCTGGGGGGAGAAATAGTGCTAGGGAGACAGTGGAATATTGGCCCTGGAGAGCTAGTTAACACTTTTATAACATGTAAGACTTATCCTAAACCTGTCTAACAGCCTGAATCCAAGTCATTATAAGACCATAGAGTATGAAAGTGGCCCTCCAAAACGTGGCACTTGAGTCATAGACTTTCTGTAAATCTTCCCTCTGAGTACAACCATAATCCAACCCATGTTCAAAGAGATAAGCATTTTTATTTATCTGTTTAAATAAGAATTTATTTTCTTCAGAGGAAGATAACAGAAGTCATACTTTCTACAGTGTCTTATTGACAATGACCCACATTCAGTCAGAAATCACTAGACTAAACAGAAATGGAGGGTAGAGTATAGACTGTGATACAGAGTTAAAAAATAAAAATTGTTGTCCTGGCTGGTTTGGCTCAGCAGTTAGAGCATTGGCCTGCAGACTGAAGGGTCACAGGTTCATTTCCCGGTCAAAGGCACATACCGGGTTGCGGGTTTGATTCCTGATACCAGTTGGGGTCATGCAGGAGGCAACCAATCAATGTGTCTCTCTCACATCAATGTTTCTCTTTCTTCCTCCCTCATTCCCTCCAACTCTGAAAAAAAAAGGGAAAATATCCTCTGGTAAGGATTAACAACAACAAAAATTGTCTGTAGAAACCTGGTTAGCACAGATGTTGGATTTAGCAGACATGTAATGAAACAATCATAAATGTTTAAAGAATCAAAGGAAAAGAGGAATGGGGAGGATGGTGTCAATGGTGAAAAAAGGAGGGACATCTGTAATACTTTCAACAATAAAGATTTAAAAAAAGAATCAAAGGAAAATATAGTCTTAAAGATTACACAGATAAGGAATTTCAGCGGAAAAATCAAATGGACCTTTTAGAATTTGAAAAGTACACTAATAGAAATAAAGAATTCACAAGAGGTTGTTAACAGTGGTTTAAAGACGAGAGAAGAAAGCTAGTGACTTTGAAGACTAATTGATAGAGGTTATCCATTCTGAAGAACAGATAAAAAGATTGAAGCAAAATAAAATACAGGCTCAGAGTTCCCTATAATTGGAATCCTAAGAGAAATTATTTAATGTGTTTGAGAGAAAGTAATTGCTCAATTACTTTAGCAATTTAGAGATAGGAGCAGAAAAGATTTGTAGAATTGATGGCTCAAACTTACCAAGTGTGATGAAAAACACAGATCTAAGAATCTTGGCATATTTCAAGTTTGCAAAAAAAAAATTATACCTGGTCATATCACAATAAAACTGCTGAAAATTAGAGATGAAAAAAATAGTTGAAAGCAACCAGGAGAAAAAACACATTACATATTCTATTAAAAATGGTAAAAATGACCACTGACCCCTCATCGGAAATCATGGAATGATATCTTTAAAGTGCCGAAAGAAGAAAAAAATCTGTAAACCAAAACTTCTATATTAAGCAAAAATATCCTTCAGAAATAAAGGTGAATTAAAGACATTTTCTGATAAATGAAAATGAGAGATTTATATCTAGTAGGCCTGGATGCTAAAGAATGTCTTTAGGCCAAAGGAGATGATACTGTTTGGGGACTTAGATCTATAGGATAAAGAAAATTAGGTAAAATAAGTGGATAAAGAAAGAAAGACTATATTATCTTTTTAAATTTACATAAAAGGCATCTGTTTAAAGCATAAATAAGAACATTGTCATGTGGGATTTATAACATGTAGAAGTAAAAGATATGTCCACAGTCACACAAACAATGTAAGAGGGGTACATGTAATTATACTGCTCCAAGATAACGGCATGTGTTATGTGGGAAGTGGATAGTGCCAGACATGACGTGAGAATGAAGAAATAGCATGGTAGTCTTGCCGAGTTGGGGGAACAGATTAAAGTCAGGGAGGCATCGGGAAATTGTGGACCTCAGCTTCAGAGAGAAGAGATCTATACTGTAAAAGAACCCTAGGGGAAGAGCTAGTATTTCCCTAGTCCTACATTTATAAGCCCCTTAGACCAAAGCTGGGGCTCCTCTCCTAGGGTCTAATATCCAGTCTTCCAAATCCCTGTGTATTCCAGAATGCAGTTAGTACTATTTCTTTCTATATGGGTTTCCCCTGATCAAATTTATGTCTGAAATCCTGGTGTGTCTTCCTAGTCATTTTTTATTGATATCTCGAAATAGTTTCCCTGGACATAATAGCATGTTGGTCCGCCATTTAGAAATTAGAATGAAGAAAACTTGATACATTTTTTTATTCTTTACCCGAGGATATTTTTCTATTTATCATCAGATAGACTGGGAGGGATGGGGAGAGAGAGAGAGAGAGGGAGAAACATCGATGCGATAGAGCCACATCAACTGGCTGCCTCCAGCATAACTTGACCTGGGCTGGGGAGGAACTGCAACTGAGGTATGTTCCCTTGACTGGAATGGAACCCGTGACTCGTTGGTCTGTGGGACAATCTCTAACCACTGAGCAAAACCGGCCAGGGCTATACTTTTTTTTTCTTTATTGATTTTAGAGGGAGAGGGAGAACGAAATAGAAACATCAGTGAGAGAGAACATCAATTGGCTGCCTCCTACATGCCCCCCTCTAGGGATTTGGCCCATAACCTGGGCATGTGCCCTGACCAGGAATTGAACCAGTGACCTCTTGGTGCATGGGTCGATGCTCAACCATTGAGCCACACTGTCTGGGTGAAAACTTTATACTTGTTTTATTTCCATTTTATTTTCAAAGTGATCTATGTGTATGTTAGGAAGACATCACACAAAGACAGTGTTCCTTTGTCATAATTCTTCCCATTTCCAAATCTGTTTTTCTAGAGGTAATCACTTAAAAGCCTTTGGCTCTTCTGCCATTTACTTACCTAGTTCTTTTTTTTTTTTTTTAATTAATTAATTTTTGTTACAGATGTTTCTCCTTTTTCCCCCACTGATTCCCCCCTCTCCCTCCCTCCCTGCCCTGTCCCAGTTTTGTTGTTCATGTCCATTGTTCATGCACACATGCATATAAATTCTGTGGTTTATCTCTCCCCCACCACCCCCTTTTCTGGGGATTGTCAGTCTGTACCCCACTTCCACATCTCTGGGAGTACCCCATTCCTCAGACTGTTATGTTCATTATATTCCACAAATAAGTGAGATTATGATACTTTTCTTTCTTTCTTTGGCTTGTT